CCCTGTCCTGTGGCTCGACCCTCGGGCCTTTAAGAGTATCAAAGTGATTTTTTTTAATGATGCTTATTACATCAGATCTTGACAGAAAAGTACAGAAGATGAAATTATCTTACTTTATTACTCTCTTCTCACATCAAATGTATTCCTTATTTAAATTTCCTAGGCTGTTGAGGATTCTTCTGAACATGGAAACTGGAAACATTTGAAGTACTAAGGCTACCTTCTCTACTAAAAAAGAATTAGAAATTACTTTAATGAGCTACTATTTAATCTGTAGCAAGGTTCTTTCTGAATGAGGAGCTGGCCCTGGATCATGCACAATGAGAGTAAGTTGTTTATAAATTTACAAACTTGTGCAAAATCTGGCATAGCTGTAACAATAAGGACATCATATTTAAAAATGTAGAAAATTACATACCATATATAAATCACAAACACTTCAAAATAGTCTTGTTTCCCAACAATCCAATATAATTTAAAAACATTCTTGTAGACTTTGTGGACCAATTTTCCTTAGTTTGTCTGTACAGCGGCACCTTGTGAATGGAATAATAAACTGTGAATAAAAGATGTGTTTGAATATCAAACAGAAAATTATAACTACTATTAACATGGCTTTCATAAGCTACATTCGTGCTAATTCAGTGATAAATGAAACTTAGAAGCTTCCAAGATTAAGCAAATGCATTCTTCAAATCCAATGATATATCACCACTGGGCCTCTCCTCTCTCATCCCACTGAAGAATTTCCTCTTTTTGGGAAGTTTGTCATATTTCTTCTCAGTCATTTTTTGAGACAGGACTGGTCCTCAAATTTCTCAAACCGTTGAAATGATAGCAGTATTTACCACATTTTTTCTCTGTCTTACCTACTTAAGAGAAGTACTTCATGCTATGGATGCCTGTCTCTGTTTGTTCTGCTCAGAAAGTTTGTGAAGCGCCATTGTATTACAGAGCTTTAAGTAGTATTTTTCCATGGGAGAAATATATTTTTCCTGGAAAGTCTCTTAGTCACACTATAAGAGAAGAAATTGCAAAACCGAAGTAGTGCATAAATCAGAGAAAATATTTATTTACAGACATGTAAAAATTATGTTACAACATTTTAAAGAAAACTGTAATGAACCACCAATCTGCTCTACATGGGCAAACCCTGAATGTTTCAATTCAATTTTTAATAGGTGCAGTGGCACCTATTAAAAATGTGACTGCTTACAAGATTGTAGCTATCTACATAGATTAAGTACAATGATTTTTCAGAACTAAAAATGGATCTACAGAGAGAACTAATAAGAACCGCAACAATATGTAATACAAGAGTTTACAAAAGTAAAAATATTTTTTTCTTGATCCAAACTTTAAAGCTTTTTAGTAAGTATTTTCAACTCATGCAGCTGCACAGGTTTGAAACAAATATCTGAAATACACAGAGTGTATAGGTCTGGGTAGAAAATGAATTGGTTTAATTCAGGACTGTCCATAAAGGATGTTACAAGACTGTTGACTATCCAAACTGATTGACAAGATCCTTTGTGTTTCCTATTCTTCCGTATTGCTAAGGGGTGAGCAATGTTAAACCCACAACTGACAAAACCCGTGTAAAACAAGTACAAGTAGTGATGGCAAACAACACCGAGCATACCGCGTACATGAGAATTAGAGAACTATCAAGCTCTGTTGAAGCTACCAGCCTCCTCCAGAGCGATTTGAAGCAAACATGCCATTATGAAACCTTGCTAGTAATTGACTGCATGGCACAAGCAGCTCCTGGCTCGCAAATGAAGTAGTGCCTTATGGTGTTATCAGAGGTGTCTGTTTGTGTTCAAAATATATTCAGGACTTAAACTGTGGTGTGAAACAGTGTCAACATTATGACGGTGCAATCATATCTGTGAATATATCATCTAAGGGGAACAATTGGAAAGAATTTGTAAAAATCTAATAGAGTGCCTTCTGTGACTGTTAGCTCATTTGGAATGGAGGTGGTGACGAGATGATATACCTAGCTGTTTCTCGTACATAGTTTATTAACACCAACATCAGAACTGATCTCCTTGGATGACATTCTGCATCTTTTAAGCCAGCCAACAGTTTACATAATTGAAATGGGCAAAACGCCCGTTGAGCTGCTAAGGTTTGGAGGTGTTTTTTTTTAACTGTCAGCCAAAGATGGAGATCCCAAAATGGCAATTCTTTTTGCATTTTTACAGTTGAAAATGATCATAACCGATACTAGTAGATAGAAAGTGGAGCAGTATTTCACCATTTGATTTGACCTAACATTTCACTTACACAGAAGTAATATTTTTTTGCTGCACTTTTCTGGGAGAGTCATCCTTGGTGGATTCTGAAGCTGCAATTCTTTATGCTCAGGCATAACTACTTACACTATTCTTGCTTTAAGTAGCTAGGTACTACTCAGCACTTAGGTAAACCATGTAACTCCACAGACAAAAGACAAGCTAAATAGAAGATACACAAACATAACTGAGAGTGCTATGTTACATAGTCTCCTAGCGAAGTAAATTCCCACTCAGTAATAGATAGTTAAATTCAATTATATGCTCTTCTTCTGCATGTTTGAAGAGTCCTTTGATGATGGTCCCCGTGCTGGAAACCTGACTGGAGACCTTGAGCTCCCACTTCCTCATACCCCCACTCTTTGAGGTGAACCTATAATTTCAGAAACTGCTGGTTTTTATAGAGATGGAGTTTGATCTGTTAAAAAGTCTCTCTGGTACTTTTATTTTTCTCTTGCTTTCAGCCTACAGAGAAGCAAGGTAAGAGTTCATCTTTGTGGTGCTGGATGACCCCAAATACCCCTGGCCATGCGTGTCAGTGGATGTCAGGGCTCTGTGCTGCAGACTGGACACAGATGGGGCTGAGCTCCATTTGACTGTGTAAGGTGGTACTTAAATTAATGCCTCTCCCTCTTGGAAGCCTGTAGCTAGTAAGTAATTTTCTGCCCTGCAATCACTTTAGAGACATGTCTCTTTCTATAGCAGTATATCTCACATAAGGATGTAGATAAATAAATACCTATTTTTTGTTTCATGTCCTCTGCAGTGCTAAGGAGGTTTGTCTCTGGGATGGTGAACAAGTTGGTACTCTCATTAGAGAAGATGTCCTTGTGCCCGTATCATATATGCGTTGATACACTTAGTATCTCAGTAACATAAGAGAAATAATGCGTCCATTCTGTTTGGAGGGAAACATGATTTATTAAGAAATTCTATACTGAGATTCCCCCTACAACATCTGTAATAATTAATTATTCCAGCTGCAGGCTTTTAGGAGGGCTTTAGGGGTTCAGGAGTGGAAAGACTACTGCCAGAAAATAAACCAAAAAGTAATCGGTAGGCTAACTCAGACTGTTGTCTATTAGCAGGCTGTAAGTACTTTACCTGGCTAGACAGGAGACTGCCTGGCATGTAAACTTGCCGAATGGAAGAAGGAACTGCCCTTAGAGACTTGCAGGAACAGCTGTAACAACTGCCTAGTGAATGGCAGCACAGAGTGGGTTTATCTGAAGACAGGGATTTACAGGAGGATCCAACTTACAGTTTATCAAGGATGGCTCTCTTCTTTTGACATTTTCACTTTTAGCAGCTATCCCTATTAGTAAACAAAATTATTTCCAATGATGAATATAATAAATAAAATAATGGAAGATACCATACAATGTATTTAATCTTGTTTGAATTAAGCTGTAAACAAAGAAGTGCAACATCACCTGACTAAATATGGTAAACCAGTAAAACATGCTAATCATAAAAATAGCTTTTAGAAATATACATTTGTATACAGTGTTTCCCACACCTGTTAAATATGTCCTTCATATTATTATGATACAGTACATTGGCCTTTAAGACATCAAAATTAAAAAAATAATACCAATAATTAGCCAGAGAAAAACACATTTACAATCTAAACCATAAAAATCTGACAATTGTACAGCTTAGAACATATAAGAAATGGAATTTCTAATATTTGAACAATAATGTCCATTTTAATAAGTAAATTGAGTTTTCATACAAATTGAATCAAATGTGTTGCTGGCCAGTAAGAAACCGCAGTTCACAATTTTCTGTGGGGGAGTCAGGGTTTCTCTTCTCAGCCTTCAGGGGTTCACACATGACATCTCATCACTTGATCTGTAGAAACTGAGAAATGAAATGTTCACTTTAGTATGAAGGCACAGAATTTCCTCCAGCAGAACCTCAAAAGGAAGCCAAGACAACTGGGGAAAAGAGGGGAGAAAACCATGACTTGACTTTTTCATGAATCAATCAAATACCACATCTATCAGACTTTCCCACCTTAAACCTTCGAGGGCTAAAAGAAAAGTCCTGTGCCTGCAGCAGCGGACAATCGGGACTGTCCAGCAGTCGTCTGTGAGACTGCATGGCCCGAAATAGCCACAGTGAATCAAGCAAGAGCTGTTGAGGCTGAAGTATATGTCCCCTCAATAATGCCATGCAAACAACTGCTGAATAATTTCTACTTTAGCAGCAGAAAATAGAAGAAAGTCTCTTAGCTGCTTTGCAATAAAATGCTTTATTTGCATAATAGCATTCAATCTAAATAGACTGCGTGTAGGAGTCTCTGCTCTGGTCCCACCGCACTATTTATATACCTTGTTCCAGACTGCTTACATTGACAGCAATGCTTTCAGCTACCAGACTAATGGTACTTCTCTCACTGGTTTTGCTTTTGACGTTGTCTGTTTTATCATTGTTCCCGTGTACGTGCCGTAGGCTCTAACTGCATACATATCCTTTGATTTCTTTTGCTGTTTTACCAGCTGCAGTGTGAAACAGCAAAAATCCAGTGTTGGTCAATGCTTCTGAGGGTCGTTCTTCCAGCAGAGGCTGGAGGCAGGTTGCACCTAAAAGTCCGGGAGTCCTGCTATGCCACCCATTAGCACTGCCAGCTTCAGCTAGGCATTCAATGATGCTGCAGGGGAGCAGGAGACATACCAGCTCTACCTACGCACAGAAAAACTGTCAACATTTTCCCAGTCACATCTGTTTGGAAAACAGTAGAAAATATTAACAGAAGTAGATGGTTTCCTTTTTTAAGTAAAATTTTCAATCTAAGTGGTGGTTTTTTTGCGTGTTTTGTTTTGATTTTTACTTTTGACAGAAAAAAAATCTTTCAGCCAATTTCTTCTTCACTTTTTTTTTTTTTGATTGTAGCATTTTCTATAACTGAAACTGAAACCAGCTGCTCTTTTCAGCCAATTTCCCCCTCCTTCAGTGACTTTTTAAGTCTGTCTTTTTCTTCCCCAGGAAAAAAAAGGGATGATTTCTGTTAAAATATCCATTTATTGAAAAGCTCATTTTCCAATGAGAAAGGTTTTATCAGAAACATCAGAGTCCCTGCAGGACTGGCCTCCTGCCCTTTGAAGTAGTCAGCCATCAGGTTTCCCCCTTGTTGCAAAGGGAGCACCAGCTTTCAGGCTGTACTCTTCACAAGTGACCAGATTAAGCAGGAGAAAAGCTCATGTGAGAGATCCCAGAACTTTCTTCTTTCAGTTAAAATATCCTGAAACTGTTATTCTCTACTTGCATAGAGAAGAATCTTCATCGCCCTTATTTTTAGCTCCTGATCCCTGGACAGACTTAACCATATGAAAAGATTTTTAGATCCTCTGCTCAGGTCTGAGAGAGGCCTAATGGTTGTTAAGTAGCTATTCATCTTACAAGAATTTAAAATATCCTCCTGTACATCCTGTTGGCTCTAGAGAGGATTTCTCTTTTCTAGCCTTTCCTTCAACTATGCTTTGCTGTTCCATTATGCCATTACAAAAGCAATAATTATGCAAGTAAGAGAGACAGTTTTTAAAGTTATTTATTGAAGCTTTTTCCCTGCCATAAACCTTTCAAGCATTTACTTGTCACCAGCACTAAAAAGCTTCATTAGGTTACCATTATGAAGTGTTGGTGCCAACCATCTGGATCCAGTCATCAATGCTGCTTTGCTGTCATTTAGAAACAATGATGAAAATGTACCAACCCCACCAGTCCAAAACCTTGTGTTCTTCCTTCAGTACCTGGGCTTGTTATTTGCCTGTTAAGGCAAATAATCTTAAAGGCTGAGAAGAAACTTTAAAAATCGGAAATAGTCAAGCTTTTATTTTCCATAGAATGACAGTAACCCAGGGCTATGATTAATCTAGTGTAATGCAATACTAATTTTATTCTATTTCTTTCTTCTGAATAGTGTGCAATTTATCAGCTGTAGTGGTAGTGGTAGTGCTGATGATATTAAAAAACCTCATGATGACTAACATTTTTTTTTAATCTTTTCATTTCCTTCCTGTTATATATATAAAAAACATCCTGACACAACAAGGATGAACTGAATTACATTTAAGCCAGCAATATGGCTTTCATTTGATGTAGTTCTAACTGAAAGCCACTTCAGAACGCGTAATTTGAACATAATGCATTTTGAGAATTGAATAACTCAACAGAGTGTATAGCCTTGGCAGCCATAGACAATATCAAAGAAACAGTATATAGACTGCCCTAATTGCCATCATAATCTCTGAAAAAAGCTGGAGATAGGTTATGGTATATTTATTGATTCATTTTCCACCTGAAATTATTTCTCTGTTTTTTTCCCTATCTGGGTGGCTTTTTGAGCATGAGATATAGGAAACAGTCTTCTTAGGCATAACACTGCATTTCAGTCTTCCAGAAATGCTATTGCTACTGTTGTTATAGTTCCACTGTGATCCTTCTAGCATTTTTACCAGACTCAAATTATACTAGATTCATTTAACTTTAACTTTACACTATTACAGTGTATATAACATTGGAAAGCCAACATTAAATATTAAACACCTCACTAAATGAAAGTGCAGTGCTACTTAATGGGCCCCATACGATAATCACTAAAAATGATGGAGTAAATCAGGTAAAATTCAGTAAAATTCTCGAGGGTTTTCCATCTTGTCTTGTAAAGGTTTAGCACTTACCTCCCCTCAAAGCCTAGATAATTTGAGTCTTTACATCTGTAGATCTTTAAGAACGCTCTGCAAGTTAAGGACATTTTTTGTGGGGGAGATCCTGGCCATCAGATCATTTGCGAGGTGGCCGTTGCCTCTAAGCTCTGTGCTTCGTAGCTGCCAAGCACGATGCAGCAAGAGTAGTTTGCGTTCTGTATTTCTCCTAAAAGCCTTTTGTGAGAACGCAAGCTTAATATAGGTTAAAGACCTGTAGGCACCACTCTTTTAGAATGAGGTGGGCTGCCCCCAGCTCCCCAGCCTCCCCAAGCAGCTGGAAGCTGTAACAGTGACCTCGCTTCTGTGGCAGAGGGGCTGCTGCTGGCTTTTCTGAACTTGTTCAGGTGGACTTTATTTGTCGGTGGCACACATGAGTTTTGGTCTCTGATAGCTGGATCCAAACACAGCTCAGCCTCTTCCCTGCTCTGGTTTATTTCTTCTTCCTTACAGTTCTGAAAAAGGGTAAACAACAAGGATTGTTCCTTGTTCCCCATAAATACCTAGTTTCCTTCTCACAGGGTTTATGGGAAAAGTGTGCTGGACTTCATTAATTATTTATTAAACCATGCTGATCTTCCAGCCCTAGATATATAGGAATAAATCTCACTGTTTGAGAGCATAAATTCAGCATATGTCCTTGGGAGGGAGTATTAGCAATACACCATGACTAAATGACGCAAAACATGTACACGATTAACGACTTCCCTTGTAGTTTAAAGAAATGTCCCACAGAATGTGGACGTTATAGAATTTACTGTGCGGTTTACCCCACAGTAATTATATGCAGTAAGAGCATCCAACAAGTATATGCAAGATGTTCGTCTGACAAAATGCATCTGTTTTTAAGCGATGGACTCTGCTGATGGGCTTTCATCATAACATTAATCTTGGAAATTCCCAGAAAATGCAGCTAAACAGTGGATGGATAGATGACTGTGCATATATACACAAGTGTGAAACCCAAAGGCTCAAATATCCTTCCTCTTGCTCTCCTGCCTTTTTCCCCTTGCTAGACAAACTCAGGACTGGACTTCTGCATTTAATAGCTGTAAGGGAGGCATCTGAAGCTAATTCTGTCCACTGCTTGGTTTCACATAAAACTGCAGTTCTGCCCCTGTCAAGCTCCTGTGGAGTAGGAGATTCGGTGCCTGACACCCTCCCAGGTTGCTGCTGGTGTCTGACTAGGCTTCGGCAGTGGTTTATGTGACTGCCATGCGCCGCTTTCTGCGAAACTGCTGCAAGGCCCATTAAGATGCAGCTGCTGCACTGTCCTTTCACTCACAGCACTGGCCCTCATGCATTCACTGCTTCAGACCGCAATCGTAGTGTGATTGCTTTGATTACATCTGATGCTCACTCCCATACTGTTATCTGTACAACTGAGAATACGGAATCCATGTCCACGGATGCCCCTATTATGTCCTTAAGGGTGGCATACTCTGTTCCATTCCTAATATTTTTTTCCGATTATGAAATATACTTTCTGGACAGCCAAGGAGGTAAAAAACTGAACCTGTTTGCAGAATATGTTTTTTTAAAAAAATCAAACAAATCTTGGTTAGCCTTTATTGATGCAGATATTTCCCTAAAATGGGAAAAATCAGGATGCATTACAGAAAGTAGTAGCGCAAATTGCCATTCTGCTCATTTGCTCCGTGTAACTCAAGAGAATAACCTTTCTGTTAAGCAGGCAGCTCACACTGAGTGCAAAACTCAGTAATTTATGTCTATAAGGTATCGTGGAGGCATGTGCTTCTATTGGCTTTTACACAACATTCATCATCATGAATGGAAATCCACAAGCAAGGAACAGGGCTTACCAAAACCCCCTGAATTTGTATTAGCTATCACTGACATGAACAGCTGTGTTCATTTGAGATACACCTTGAGCTTTGCCCCTTGATTTAAAGGATGAAATCTCTTAAGTAATACAGTTACGTAGGTGATTTAGAATAATGCCTCCATATGACATGTAAATGCTCAATTCAGTAGGTGTTAGCAGGGGAACAGGAATGTGTATTACAGGTTTGCTGCTGTTATTTGTAACACTTGTAAAACATGACAGACAAAATTATAGCACTAAAGTAAAACTTATAATGAGCTAGTGATAGAATATTCAGTGCGTATAACAAATAGGAGGAATTGTACAGC